TAAGTATATCTACGGGTAGGGGCATGATCCACCTTCTAGAAAGTGGTGCCCCCCTCATCACCAGCATATCACCATCCTAGGTTATATAGCACTAAAGGTCTTCAGTAATTGACTAACTCTAATACTTGCTGTATGGTTGGGAATGGGTAGGTGTGTGGTGGACCATCCTATGGTACTATATCAACTTGGATCATGAAGTCCCATGCATGGAGTCCCAAGATATCAGTAAAATACTCTGTAACTCAGTATTCAATCATGCTTGGTAGTCAATAGGTTGATATGATGGTACCAGATGAGATGGCTGACTGGGCAGACTAATAGTAGGATGATATACCTTTCAAATGAGCTCCCTCCCAACTTTATCCACCCAGGAGCTAGAGATCCATGGTTATCTTTCAGGGTTGATAGAAATCAAATATCACCGATGAGTAAATACACTGCATAATCGGGATTATATTGACTTGGGATTATGGATGGACACACTAGAGCCTCAGCTTGGAGTCTCTGGCTATATAAGTCATCTTCCTTATAACATTGGAGTACCAGATATTCTCTTTTATATGATGGAATAGCAGCTACAGTGATTATATCATATGATGATGACAAGATACCATGTTTTATTGATAATACTCTTTAAAACTTTCCTGACAGTACTTAAATTATGTATTTCCATCAAGTACTTACGGAGATAGAGGCTCATCAGTTTTAAATCAGTGAATGATTGGCTAGTACTGCCACAACTATTCAGCTGCCACTATAGGTTACTTAATGAAAGTTGTTCATATAGTCAAAATATACAACTTTGGTTTTGTGACAATCTGTGATATAGTCTGATGATTGTACTGTCAAATGGTGAAAATTTCCTTTTTTGGAAAGTTGTCATGCTTATCACTCCATATTACAGTATATAACAGCATGGCACAGGTACCAAATAGTGGTTATTGACCAAAAGTTCCTTTTTAGGACACTCTGTCACATGTCACATAGTGGACTTGGTTCCGATAGCCTATATCGTATTATTCACCTTTATTCACCCCTACATGCTGGACTTAGCGAAATTTGCCTTGGACTTCACAATTATTCACCCCCTTCACCAACAATTATTCGCCACTTGGGGAATTGCTGATAACGCTGGGGCTTATCAGTGGCAACCTGCGTCGTTGCCACTGATAATGTACAGTGTGTTGTGGGCTAAACAGGTGCAATCAGGTGGGCTCCGGTTTGATCTGCAATATCTGTGTGCGTTTTATAGCGATGGCGGCATCCGGTTCGGCCTTCTGGTTCGAACCTGAACCGGACCGAACTGAACGCGCGTTCAGGTTCAAAGTTCAGCGCAAGGCTGAACCTGAACCTGAAGTTCAGTTCAGTGTTCGGCCGGTGGTGGTTTTGCTTGAACCTGGTCCGAACGCGTTCGAACGCCCGAACGCCGGAGGCACCGGACCGCCCCATCAATCAGATTAGATAGCCGATATTCCTGATTTGGATGGGGTGACACAAGCTATCAGCGCCAGCTGTCTCTTGACTCCCGCCATCACCGCCTACACCATTGGGACCGGTACCCTACAAGTGCGCGCGGTAATGCACACGCAGGGCAGGAGCAGCACGGCCCAGGCGGCCCCGAGCACGCCGAGGATTGTCCCGCTGACCGCGGTGCCAGCAGGAAGGAGGGAGGGCCCGCGGGGGAGGTGAGCCGCGGCACGTTGGGGCTGGGGCGGGCTGGGCGTCGCACCGGCGCCGAAGGAGTTGGTGGAGGGACCAAGTGCGTGGGGGAAGCAGGTGCGTGCTCTGGCTTGGGCCCGGGCTCAACACTGGCCTGGCCGATGACCCCGCGCCGGTGCCGTTATCCCGCTCCCTGTGCCTTTGCCGCCGGCTTCGTCATCGTCGCTACATCCCTTGTGGTTGTTGTAGTTGTCTGCCATTGTTCTGTAGGTACCAACTATATATAGGTTTTGCGTGCTTCAAGTTCGGAGTTCGAACGTGTTCTGAACCTGAACCGAACCACGTTGAACTTGAACCTGAACCTAAAGTTCAGTTCGGAGTTCAGCCCAAAGCTGAACCTGAACTGAAGTTCAGGTTCAGGGTTTGCCAAAAATTGGCCTGAACCTGAACCGAACCGAACCTCGCTATCTCTAGCGTTTTAGCGCGAGCTGATATTTTGCCTTTGTTGGTGTGAACACTTCAGGCTAAGTAGCCCAATGGTTCCTGGTGCTACGTTGGCTGACTGTCACACTAGTGTCACATTGTTTACAAACACCCTCTTCCCAGAATGCCTGTTTATAAACAAATAAAACAGGGGTGTTTATAAACCGATTTACAAACATCCCTATATAAACCAAGCTCTATGAGGCTGAGATCCAATCCTCCCCTGATAGAACTCTAATTTCAAGCCTCTAGTGTTGCCATTACATTATAATAATCTGCAACAGCAATAACACTATTAAGGAATATGATCACAATTTTAACAGTGAAAATGACAATTTGCATAGGGAGTACAATTATAAACTTTATCACATGTAACTTTCAAGAATCCTCTTACACCCAGACATTGCCTCCTCCATGGGTAGCACATTGCAATGCCCATTGGTTTGCTGCAGGGACTTGGGTGTATCTCGAAGGAATTCTGTAGGTTTGTCAGGTTAGCAAATAGAAGAAGCCCGAGATATAGGTTTTACGGCAAACAGTCATCGCATTCAGTGCTGGTGCATCCAGGAGGATGAGCCTGACTCATCTTGCATGTATAAATGACACAGTCAACCTGTAAAGGTATGTCAATCTAAGTTTTTCTTACAGAAAAAAAAACAGGATATTATACAAGTCTTTGAATGCGGGAAAGAGTGATTGTTTGATTGCAACCAGGATAGTTGCAGTATGCCCAAGGAACAAGATAATAGCACATGTCTAGATAATCTGTGTCAGAAATTCGATATCCAGTGCCAAGCCAATGCTATAAGTGGATGCTCGTACTTACTTGGCTTTCTGAAGGCAACTTGGCTGAAACTTGAAGCTAGCTAGCCTATAGGCTGTAATGTGGTATTAGAAGGTAGAATTTTTCTGTTCAAGTTGTTACTCGGAATGCCTCTACTTATACTGTTATAGCAAGGTGGCACGAGGCAACACAACAAATTATAATTATCCGACTCGGACTACCCAGAACGTTGTAGTCCGAGTCAATCCTTGAATAAATTGAATGTAGCTGTTAGTGGTGCTTCCATTTCATCGATATATTCGGAGAGACTGGATGTCCTAAGATATGTTGACTTGTCTGACTCACCTGGCCATTGACTGATAAGTTGGAGGGAGATCTCCAAGTCGGCAATAAGATTGTGATCACTCCAAGCCTCCAACTGAAGGCTATCGCAGTGCCAACTTGAAATATGTTCGCTGATCTGACAAATATGATGTCGGACTTATGGTGGTGAATGACACCAGAATGACATGGTGGACCCACAAACGAAGCGCGTGGGAAGCACTCTGATGCTCTTCTTGGCATTCATCACTCAGTTTAAAAGCACCGGCATGCATAGCCTCTCTTCCGAGTCACTGGCAAGTTGAAGGCAGCCCGCCAAGTCTGTCTTAAGTGCTTCTGGCACCATCGATTTGTCTGTTCATGCAAACACGCCTCCATTGAGACTCCGGAGCGCACTAGCACCGTAAACTTGAATAGAGCCAGACACATTATAATTGCACGACTTTCCAAATCCAGCCTATGCATCGCGCAGAGACAGATAATCCGACTCGGACCGATCGCCAAGTTTTGTATTGGCAGCGTGCTGGCACAGGATCGTTCTAGATCCACTTGAAGAGGGTATCGCGCGCGTAATCACCACTGGTGTATGCTGGCTTGACAAATAAGTCAATAGCGTGTGCCGAGGGGAAACCGTGTCATTTCGCGCATCGCCAACGACCACCCCGACTCAGGCTCGTGGCTTGTGGTTTCCTATTGTGGTTTCCTATTGTGGCCCGCCAGCATCCAACTACGCAGACCACTCTGACTCCGATGTCCATTCCTGTGCAAGGTTCCGTGTTGCAGAAGCTGACAGAATGATGATTCGACTCGTTCTTCAGTCTCTTGTTTCATGGCAAGCGCGCTATCGCCATAGAGGAGTCTGAGGAGATCGAGTAAACCTGTGCGAGCCTAACAAGGCAAAGGCGTGGATCGACTCGCATCGGACGAGGGAGCTACCAGAGTACATGTCAATGAACTTCGAAGTAAGCTCGTTATCCACGCTTGATTCAAATTCTTGATTCACTATTGATGGGAATGAGAGTAGGCTGAGTAACTTGAAGCTTGAGCAGAATGGCATTACCACTGTGACAACTTTAGTCTTTTTTGTTCTTGACTACCACCCCTACTTCAAAGTTCACCGGTCTTGTGCCTCTCTCGTGAACTCGGCTCCACGGGTCATAAGAATGCAGTGGTCCAGAAACATTGAAGAGCAGCGGCCATGTTCGATGTGTACTTAGCGCAAGGTTTGTTGCTTCAAGTTGCAAACAAGCTCATGAGCGCCTTGCAACAGCGGCGAGCCAGAAACAAAAAATCGCGGTCACAGCTGGGGAGTCACAGTCACGATGTCCATTTATGATTTCTCTCCATTTATTCTTTCCAACCCATTCTCTGACTCCGGTTCATCGATGAACTCTACGCTGGAGCGCCTTCCACCTGAAATACTCCATCATATCCTAGAACACCTCGTATACACCAGCTCGGAGGAACAGAACTTGAATGTCCACTCCGGGGAATTGCGTTATGTAGCACCTCGTCTATGGTTCGCACAAAAACATTGGCTTGGTTGTTCTCCGAAGTTACCAATCGTGAAAACGTCTGGCCTTCCTCGCTTTGGTCATACATTGCGTCCGTTATCATTGATATATTCCGAATACTTACTGAAAACTTACAGCCTGAGAAGAGTCACGGTGAAGCTTCGGACTCAGAGTGTTTTTCGTCCACGAAACTTCCGTTGGTTGTCGCGTCTCCCGCTATATGCCATGCTCTATCGTCTATGCCTAACCTTACCTGTGTTGTCGTGGAGTTGGATGTTGTCTTGCCCCGCGAATTGCTCTCCACACTTGCCGTCATCCAGAGCTTGACTCGACTTGACATCCACCAACTGCGCCTGGAGTCCTGGACGGACCCATACCTCTTCATCTTCTTTTCCCCTCGCTTTCTCGGCTCGTGCTTCGCATTGCAGGAGACGCAGGCGCATACCGCGAAGAGAAGGCCAATGTCTTTTCACTTTTACGAGCGGTCTGCGGGAACCTCACGCAGCTGTTGCTGTCCGGCGATCTGTTTTTCTGCTCAGTTCTCTCAGCTTGAGTGGAACCGTCTCAAATCCTTCACTATCACCGACCATCCACCGGCCCCAAGTATTGCTCTTCACCTGCTGGTCGGCAACATGCGCCGCCTTGCCATTCTCGAGCTTCTCTTCGCGCCTCATCTTGCGAAAAATCAACTTCCTCCATTCTTCGTCGACTATGTGGACAATAGTCTGAGCTATCGACATTTGCGTGCTCCAACCTCGATGCGGGCGACCCTATATTCCAGCACCTTCCGACTACGCTTCGAAATCCTCGTCTGCTCACCTACACCCTACGATCGGCGAATGAAATGGCATTATGACGAATCCCAAATGCTTGGTTTTTTTTGGCGAATACGTTCTAGCAATTGACTGCGTTCAAGTTGCTGCTCCCGTAGCATTTATTTGGTACTCACTACAAATCGTCGTGTGCATCGTTCGTTCATTTGCCTAATCATGTATCTGACTCCGTGCTTTTGAGGCTGGTCACGGTCAGGCGTTTCTTCTAATTCCCAACTATGTGAGACAGCAAGTTGGACCCACACAACCAGCCAATCGGATTTAGTGGGTAAGCAGAACAAGCTACGCATACAGGTTACTATTAGTAATGGGGCCGATTTGTCTCGATTAAGACAAGCAATTGTGGTACGAAACAGTCATATGCCCTCGATCCACTCAAGAAGCAGGGTGTTGACCTCATCCGCATGCGACAACAAGGCCCAGTGATCGCCCTCAACTGCCTTGTTCGTCAGGTTTGTGTCGGGCTTCACGTATTGCTCGTGGGTGGCCATCGCAAACATCCGAGTCGGTAGCCCGATCGGGTCCTTATTGAACGCGACAAAGAGCACCGGCTTCTGAAGGACATATGCTTCCTCTGGTATTTCTGTTTCATAGTAGTTAATGATGGAAGGCCAGAGACTCTGAGAGAAAGAAAAACTTACTCGCATCGTCCTCTGCGTTGTATTGCTCCACTAGGACTTGGTACCAGCAGAGCGGAGCAGACAGTCCACCACCAACGAGGGCATGGGTGTAGTATTCCTTGTCCTGTAAAGAATAAATAGCGCTGGCTAGCTGAGCAGAAGTGTGTACCTCGGCGGTCATGTACTCTGGCAGTTCTGTCGTACGATTTGACTCGATCCACACTTTGGCTTTTCCGGCTTCACACATGTTCTCCCGCCAGATCTCTTCGGTGGCGCGCTTAAGGGGGAACAAGAGGCTGAAGAAGGAGTCAAACTAGAGGTGGATAAGCGGTAGAATGCAGAGGATAGCAAGACCCACATTCTTCTCCATCAAGACGTGGGCGTTTGGCTCGACGAAGTACTGCATGTAAGCTAGCACATCATATCCCACGAGACTCTTGATCTGTGCCGATTGTGTGATAGGGTCTGCATAGTTGGATGCTGGTGGGCCATAACCAACGCCGAGGAAAGCGCAAGCGACGAGTCGGTCGGGGTAGTAGTTGGCGATGCGAGAAACAACACGAGAGCCCCTGTAGTGAGTCAGCAGCGGCTATAAGCATGTCTCTATAACACGCACCAGTCGTGGCTGACAGAGATAACCTGGCTGACGCCCTCTTGGTCTAAAATATCGACAATGTCCTGCGCGAGCCCGCTGCCGACGTAGAGCTTGGGGTCAGTAGGTTTGTCGGTGCCACCATATCCCAGAAGGTCGGGGGCAATGATCCCAAAGCCCTGCTGCTCGAAGAATGTAATCTGGCGGCGCCAGACGTATGCTGGAGTTGGGAAACCATGCGCAAAAAGCAAGGTCGGCTTGTTGGGCAACGCCTTCGCAAAGTAGTAAGCATATGCTAGGCCACGCTGGGTCTTCACCGCTCGATTGACTAAAGACATAGCGGAAGGGTTGTTGTACAGGCGGCATTGTGGATGGATGTTAAATGCGAAGCAGTGAAAGTCACGTGTCCCTGTGATCCCCGAAGCTTCTTCCAGTCGCCGTTTTACAGCACTGCACCAACTCGGGCTTCACGGATCTCATAGTGATTGACGAGGCATTCTCTCCCAATTCACCGTTAAAGTACTGCTCATGTTTTATTCATGATTAGGCAAGCCGCTGCGTCAGTGAACCACCTCAGTACTAGCAAGAGACGCCGACGGCGATCAACATACCCACCGACACTTAGCTGCGCAACGGCGTTTACCATAACGCTCTGTTGACTCCTTCTGAATCTCGTCCGCATAGCATCTTCAAATTCTGATGTTGCATGGGTAGCTTCTTCTGTCAACAGTCAGCGTCCGATTTCTTCAGACAGCGGTCGCTTGTCGATAAGCAGTGAGCTGAGTCAGCCACAGCAAGAACATCGATATGTACGAGCGTTCGACTACTCTGAAAGTGGGCTATTCAAAAGATTACGTCCATAAGAAATGACTGTGTGTCCACGATTTATTTGGCCATTCTAGCGCTTGAAGCACGCTGATTTATCATGGACATCCTCTCCTCGCTTCGCGGCACGATGCGGCACTTGAAGGGATTTGGGAAGCTAGTATTCTACTTCAGTCACTTTTTCCTTGGAATCCCTGCACACGATGATAGCGGCGCACCTTGTCAAACTACTCCTCCATGTTGGATGAATGGCCTCTTCAACTCCATCTACGTTCCGGGGCAAATGGTAGGAGAAATTATGGACAAGATACGCTACGAGGATGTAAATCGAGTTTGCGGCAAGCGCCTTGCCTGGACAAATGCTGTTCGATATGCCTTAGTACCGTCTTCAGCGACAAGAATGTGACTGCTCTCACCGGCGCCCGAAGCCAAAAGCATAGGTGAACGGGTCTTGTGGAACAAAACCCGAGGGACGGGGCAAAAACCGCTCGGGCGCAAATTCCTCAGGCGAGAAATCGGGATCTTCCTCACGGGTTATCGCCCTAAGATTCGTTATTGGGACATGCGAGAATTGGTGATGACACATACCAGACATTGGCGATGGCGATGGTATTCTTGGGCAGAAAGAAGCCTGCTCTATGTCGGAGAGTGGAAGCAAGTAAAAAGACCACCCACCTTGATATACCACGTCCTTCGAAGAGCGATGAGGAATCCCTGATGTGCGTTGGAAATAAGGAGAGCAGAATGACTACTTGACGCACCCAAAGGCAACGCTGGATGCCAACGAAGAAGCTCTTGCAGGAGCGCATTAAGATATGGTGTCTCGTGTTGATTCTCAATGCTGGGAAGTTTGTCGCCCACTACCGAGTCCAACTCGAGTTGTGCGCGTCGCTGAACCTCGGGGTACATGGTCATCGCCAATATGCAATTGAGAACTGTTGAATACGTCTGGAAATCATGTTGAGCTGGGGGTCAAAGCAATAACGAAATTTTACTGGCCGTTTCGACACCAGCTGTAGAAGTTTCAGAAATAATTCCAAAATGAAGAGCTCAGGCTGACTTACCGCCGTACATCGAGCCTGCTGCCCATATTACCGCATCTTCGAACGCAGCGTCTGCGGAGTCAGACTGGGTATCTGCGTGGGGCAAGCTAAGCAGCTGTTTTACTAGCGAATGCGGCGCCTCTCCCGCTGCCTGATGAATGGGATACGTCACGCCAAACCTAGCCTAGACCAAGTGAAACGGACCATCTCTTTCTTCACCTGGTGATATGGTGGAAAAACCAGCTTCTCTGACATAGCGCGGCCCTCCCGAGCCTTGTCATGAAATGTCTTGAAAGGTAGGTGTTCCGGAAGGTACTTGACTGAAGATGTCGGTACAACTTAGCGTCCCATGCTCAAAAATTGACACATACGAGAAGGAATAGCGTCAACAAGGTACGCTCCGGGCACAAGTGTTTCGGTCAGCAGCATCAGCGTATCTTCAGCATGCCGGATGTACTAAGTAAAAGCTTCAGTGTGACGAAGAGCGCCTGGGGCTTCCTACATCTTCCTCTGCCAACTGGGGAGATATTCCATAGGTCACAGACATGATAATCCTCCCCGTTGCACTAGCGGGGGTCAGAAAATAATGAGCAAGTTCCGTAGCGGCATTTAACACGACTTACAGCCGTAAATGCTCAATAAATCCCTCAGGATGAGTTGTGATACTCTGCGCCATCAATGCGGCGATGTCCTCTTGGGCTCCACAGTACTCCTTCACGACATTTGCGTTGAAAGCAATATCAGTGAGCTTGCGATGGTAGCGCCATGTTGGTGTATTTGACATGAATACTGTAGACTAAGTATGTTGGTCAGTCGCAAACGGAAGTAACTTGGAAACCTACGCGGTCCACACCCATAAGTTCGCCTCCCATTGTGAAGACAGGTCGATCAGTCCAAACATGCCCATCCTTCACAAGCAGGTCATTGCACGTGTCGATATCGTTGAGGACTACAACGGAGTTGCCAAAGCCATGAAGGTATGTCATTTTGCCTATGGTCATATTTGAGCTTATGCTTTGCGGGAAAGGTGGAAGGCGCACCGAACTCATACTTCCACTTGAGCAATTTCCGCCATGGCGAGTCTTTGGAGAGCGGAAAGTGCAATAGATTGCCGATGGCGGGAATCGCCCATGGACCTGGTGGATGCCTCAGGCTGGTTCCGCGCCATTGTCGACGTAAAGACACTAGAAAAGCACAGGCTAGGACTGCGAAGAGAGACAAAGTTAGCATTGGGCCTTGTTATGGGGGAGGAGCTGCACGAGTTACTTATATCTACACACGTCACCAACTGAAAGAAGGAATGTTACGCAAGGAGCGCCATGACAGAACCTCACAGGCTCGCCATTAAGTATAACATGTTTCGCCGACTTTCAAGTTTGCGGCCATATCGGAAGCAGGAGAATGCTTAGGGCGAGTCGCAGAGTGAATTGAGGTGTCGAACGATGCTAGCCGTGTTCTATAGTAAGGGGAACAAGGTGGTCCGCGCCGTCACGTGCACCGTAACGGCGACGCGGCTTCTTTCCCTCCTCTCATCGGCGCGCTGGGTTTGTGTTCCTCAGGGTACAGCAAACAGGCACTGGCGAGTACCTGTGTACTGAATTTGTCTTCCGAGTCGCTGACTTGACGTATCTCTTTGCCACAACAGCCTGAGCCCGAGGAGCGCGACTTGTGTGACGGAAGGGAGAGCAAAGTCCAGCTACGGTTTCCACTGTGGTGAGTGAGTCAAAAGCCACACCGCCGACTTTGCTCATTTTTTTTGCCTGCCTTGCGCAGTCGACCAGGGGGCATAGGCTTGTTTGAGCTGGTCTTAGCAGACGAGGCAGCGGGAGTTCTGAGGTGTTTGCTTAGTTCAAAGTGCGTCGTTTAAAGGCTTCTCTTTACGCGTTTATCAATTCTTTAGCAGCGGAATTTGCCATGCTTTCTCCTCTTCCTGACGAGATCATCTCCGAAATTCTCTCTCCAGCGCTAAGAGTTGACGACGACATTTTCACGCAGTCTACCTCCGGCTCAGCGCCATTCGCCCGTTTCTCCGAGTCCACCTCTGCATGCCTGCTCGTCTGCAAGTCATGGCTTAGAGTCGCCACACCACTACTATACAATGTCGTTGTAATACGCTCAAAGGCGCAGGCCAAAGCACTGGCGACCGTGCTTGCCAAAAACGCTCAACTGGGTACCTTCATTCGAAAACTTCGGGTGGAAGGAGGGTACGGTGCCCCAATGCAGACAATACTCCTTCGTTCTCCCAACATTTCTGACCTATTTCTTTGTTTCAACATCTTTGGGACGGACAACACGGACGGTCTATGCAAGGGTCTTGCGCATATCAGTCCCATCAAGCTCATTCTAGACGACGGCGGTCAACGTCAGAACAAGCATACGATCAAGCTAACCAATGCCCTCGTGAACGCCATCCCGAGGTGGGAGCGCTTGGTGCGTTTCGGACTACGTTACTAGCATTCATTTACAATTTAAAGGCATGTCTTGACCTTACCTACGTCGTTTTGCCCGATGAGGATGACGAGCCCTCCGATCTTCTAACCGACCGCATCTTGAGTGTCTCGAAACCCATCATGGACTGTCAACGACTTACGAAACTGGTCGTTGCTGAGCTTGATTCGGTCGAGGAGGTCTACACTCACTTCAAGGCATGTCCGCTGAAGGTCGTCAGAGTCAAAGAGCATCTTAGGCGATCCCCCTTCAACAAATATGTTCTTAACATTGAAGCCATCCTCACGGCCGACGATGTTAGTCTCCAGTTAGAGTATGAAGCGGAATCTGGGTATGTTGTGTATTGTGATCGCATATTCTCCTCCTGAGAGCCAATAGCTTCACCCGTTTCCGCAATGCCGATCCACCTGAAATTGTCCCCTCCCTGGATCCATTCTTTGTACCCATGGCAGGCGTGTCTCTCGATGTTCAAGAGCACGTTTGGACAAATGTGTTGCAGTTGGTCTTGTCCAATAACAGGATGACAAACGAGGCTACGGACCTCCAGCTGCTGACGGTTTGCAAAATGTTCTTGGTGGGCTTTCCTTAATGATTTTCTTTCCCGCTCTGACTTGAAGCTCTCAGCGCTGTGGAAGACCATTCTTATATGAAGATATTACTCTCAGAAGGCGGCGCGCCCTCTGTCAGCTCGGCGCGACATTGTCCTCGAATGCTGAATACGGACAACATATCCGGAGTATAACATTCTCAATCTTCACCTACAGTTTTGATGAAGGTGTCATCCTTTCCTCCGAAATTTCTGTCGCTCTTCGCGCAATCATGGACAGTGCAACTTCCATTGTCCGCCTAGTCACCACATCGTCACTGTCCAATCCTGACGACTACAGCGGGGCGGTGAAAATTGGCCCTGCCTCCTTCTCATGGGACGATGTTGTGTCTCTTTCCTCGGTTGCTGGGGCGACCCTCCGCGAGTTGGTACTGGAAGTGGATCGCTTTTATGGGAGGAAGCTTGTCCGAGGAGTCGATACCGTGTTTGCGGCATTCCTGGAGCTTCGTAGCCTCGGCTTGACGGTTGATTCCGAGCTGGCCTTCAACCAGATAGCAATCGATAAGAGTCTTATTACCCTCCCCAAACTGGAGCATTTGACGCTTGGAGGAGCATCTTCCAGCCTTATGATCGTCTTAGGAAAGCTATCGTAAGTTATTCCCACCCCCCCCAATTGCGCACGGGCTGAGTCAACCGCAATAGGTTCCCTTCTCTCAGGAGTCTTGCCATCACGGCCAAACTCCCGGGAAATGCGGGGCTTCATGCGAGCGCATGGTCATTCACTGACCGTGCTCTCTATCCCTGTTGTCTGTCTCTTCGAGATGTCGCTCGTGCATAGCGGTTATCCTCACAATCGCTTCCAACGTCCCTGCATTCTGGAACTTTGCCCCAAGCTTACAGAGCTGACAGTCGCATATGGCCGTCGTGATACCGAAGTCAGTATTGCTCTTCGTTGTACTATTCTCTCCTTATTCTGGGTTCTAGGAGCTGAATTCGAGTCTCGACTTTTTCAAACCGACCCGCCCAAATGAAAGTTTAACCAAGATGAGTTTCGCTCTTCCGTATGATGTCGTGTACCACCTTTTTCTCTCTGTGTCACTCTTTACTCATTGTTTTTCTAGCAATAAACATGTTTCGCCCACCTGGGAGCATTTCTTTGCCGGCTTTGCATCTGGCGTAATTCCCCACATCAAGACTTTGGGCGAGATCACTCTCAGCTACCCAGTCGAGTGGCCGACGACCGAGTTCGTATCCCTGCCTTTTTTCCTCCTGCAAGTGAAATGTGATCGTCTCATTATGAATAGGCGCGAGATCAACAAAAGTACGTGGGCCCGCATCGCCAACAATCTACTGGCTGCCGGCGTCCAAGTTTCCGACCGACGTGGAACGAAGTGGCGATCAAGATTGTCGACGGGCGCAAAACAGAGCCGGCCCAGGAAAAGAAAAGCCCCGGCACAAGAAACTGACGATGAAGACTAATAACAAGGGTATTAATCAAGTAACAATACTTCAGTAATAATAATTGGATGTCCTTGAGTGTTTTTATGCACTGCCGGTGTGAGTCTGAATTCCACGATAAATCCCGTGCTCAGAAACATACTTAGGCCGCTACTACTAGTAGTAAAACCCTTGACCCAAGCAAGGCCTGAGATCTGAGAGAATGGGATTTTCAGATTTACTTTTGTCCCAACAATGATCGATATCTCAGCGCATGCCGACAAAAGCACGCCTTTGAAGTGAATATAGCCAACAAGTAACTGTAAGCAAGGATAGGCAAGGATGGTGAATGTCAATGACTAAGCACAGTGACTTTTCCTTTTTGTCCATGGTCATCAGTTGGTCATCTTCTTCAACAATTCAACCGACCTCAGCTTGCGGCGCGTCAAGCTCGGGTAAAAATGACATTTGCAAAGCAGTCCAAACATGTGCGACCTGCCTTGGGTAAGGGCGGGACCCTTCGTCGATCACCGATTCTGTGGCTCTCTTCTCCCCTCCCCAATGCTGTCTCTATCTCTTGTCGCAGTCATAGCCTGCACTATTTGGGTGTCTTTATACCGCAGACAACGGCGCGGGCGTATTCCACCAGGTCCGTGGGCCCTACCCGCCATCGGCAACCTGCTGCACTTTCCCCTCCCAAAGAACTCGCCGTGGCGGAGACTGCTCGAGTGGAAATACGAGTTCGGTACGCATTCCGACCGTTTAATAAGGCGCTTGCTCATCATATGGCCATAGGCAACATTACCTACCTCCATGGCTTTGGCAACTCTGTTGTGGTCCTGAACGACATCGATACATGCAACGACCTTCTTGTCAAGAATGGACACGCCTGGGCTGACCGACCGGTCTTCACAATGGGCGGGGAACTTATGGGGATGGACCGCGTGCGTTTTCAGGTTCCGCATTCCACCTTCTCTAATCTACATCCAAACAGTCGATGGGATTCATGTCAAACACACCAATGTGGCGCTACCAGCGCAAACTCGCTCATCTCGCATTCAGTACCGACTCAGTGAAAACCTACTGTGCAGCACAAGAGGACATTGCTGCTCTGATGGCGCAAAGTATTGCCAGCCACCCGGAGGACTTTATTGACCACGTGCGACTGTACGTCTATTCACATTACTTGTTAGCGCATATCCAACGCTTCTTCTAGTGCAACGGGTAGAATCGTGATGTCCGTGACCTACGGAATCTCTCCCCAGCTGGCGGAAGAAGACGTAGCTATCTTGTTTTCCCTTGTCGTGGTGTTTGACCAGTTTTTTTAGTACATCCAGCACGCCGAGGATACGATGGAGGTTATAACCGATACCACCATGCCTGGAGCATATTTAGTCGATGCTATTCCTGCCCGTATGTGTTGAGAAAACAGTGCCTCGAAAGACTATTGACCGCCATCCTATTAGTCAAGTACCTCCCGAAGCAGCTCACGGCATTTCACGACAAAGCCAAAGAGGGACGCGCCATGGTGGAAAGGATGGTTTTCCCACCATATCTTCAGGTGAAGAAGGAGATGGTGCGTTGGTTATGGCCCTCTCTGTGCTTGTTTCATCTCATCATTAGCAAACCGGAGACGCGCCACATTCGCTTGTCAAGCAGCTGCTTAGTTTACCTCGTTCAGACAAATCCGACCCCGACGAGAGTTTCTTTGAAGACGCAGTCATCTGGGCCGCAGGTTCAATGTACGGTGGTAAGCTCCCTTCTCTTCCTTGTTTAAAACTCTCACCACATTCATTGCAGCTGGCGGAGAAACGGTACGCGAATTCTGTCATCCACTTGACTACCAACTTATAACCCAAAGACCTTCGCGACGGCTCTCAATTGCATATTGGCGATGACCATGTTCCCCGAGGTTCAACGTCGCGCGCAAATCGAATTAGACTCCGTTGTAGGAGAGCAACTCCCCACCATCGAAAACCGGCGCGAAACTCCGTATCTCAATGCTCTCTTGAAAGAGCTGCTCCGTTGGCAGCCGTCGGTTCCATTAGGAGTACCCCATCGCTCCTCAAAGGATGTGGTTTATCAAGGCGAGCGAATTCTAACCCTTTTACACCATACCTGACCGACTCCTGCCCATAGGCTATTCGTTGCCTAGCGACACCATCGCGATAGCAAATGTTTGGGCTATAACCCGTGAGGAAGATCCCGACTTTCCGCCTGAAGAGTTTATGCCAGAGCGGTTTCTCCCTCGTCCATCAGGCTTCGCGCCGCGCGACCCGTTCACCTATGCCTTTGGTTTCGGTCGCCGGTGAGAGCAGTCGTTCTTCCTCGTAACGTCGTCGGCTGATTCAAAATACTTAGCATTTGCCCAGGAAAGCCGCTCGCGGAGAATTCGCTCTACATCCTCGTCGCGTACCTGATCCACAACTTCTCTTACCACTTGCCCCGCACGCAAGAAGGCGTCGAGGAACCCATTCGGCCGACGTGGAAGAGTGGTCTTACTAGGTGTGCCAGATTTTCGACGAGAAAAACCAAGTGACCAAATAAAAACAGTTTTCCTGAGCCCTTCAAATGTCGTATCGTGCCGCGCAGCGACGAGAGGCTGACGATGATCAATTACCGCGCGTCCAATACCAGAGCGGCCAAATAGTACAAGAAATTGACAAGCACAAATACTTAGAGTACACTACACAAGTCAGAAGAAAATGCAGAATGCAAAATCCATGCGAGGAGAGTAAGTAGGGTAGATGCACAGTGATATAATGTAGCAGTTAGAGACCCTTATAACAAGGAGAAAGAGCCCAGGAACGTTGTGAGGTCAATAGATATCTGGAGGTCAAGATAGAGGTGGTGGTACAACCGCGTCAGTGGGTTTTGCATCCCAAGGCGCAGGTATTCGTGCAATGTCAGCGAGGTTATTGTCTGCGCGGACGTCGTTTAGTCGTTCCTTATCGGTCATTGCCATTCGCACGCGACATCGATGCAGGCGCAATTTCGTCCGCTTTATCCACGTGTCGATCGTCGTCCGGTCCTCGTCCATAAACGGGTTACCCGTCTGAAGCAAGTCGTCCTGGAGCGCGTAGAGACACCACAAGGATTCCTCGTAGAGCTTCTCGCATTCGTCTGGCGACGTTGCCTGGTTGAAGAGTTCTTTGCGGGCAGCACTTCGGCTCTGTGGACTAATCAGAATTATCGAAATTGAGATCCTGCGAAGAACCTACCAGAACAAGAGCCCGGTCATAAACTAGTTGGTCGAGCCAACTCTTCGCGCCATCATAAGTTGCCGGAAGCCATGTCTTGACAAGAGTGGCCCTATCATAGCATTTCTGGAACTGGTCCGTAAACCAAGACAGAGCTGCAATTGGATCAGCCAAATTCCAGAATAAAAGAACTAATCGCACCATCGTCAAACCCCTCGCTGACAATAAAGTCGCCATCAGGATGGCGCATCCGCATGTGTTCCTGATGTCGAGCGAGCTGGTCGATGCCCTTCTGAGCAAAGGACATCAGGAGCATATATACCGCGACACAAGTCACAGCATTGTACTCCGCCTCCATATCTGCATGCTTGCGTCGCCGCGCGTTCTTGTCCCCCTCGCCTTCCCGTTTCTCAAACTTGTTTGGATCCGGTAGTGGTTCTGGCAAGACGGTGAATTTGGAGCAAACAAGACTGAAAACAAAAACATACTCTGGGGCACAGCTTTGACGTATTCGTACATCTCGTCCGCCCAGTTCGTCAGAACAAACGTCTTCTGGGCTAGAATCTCCAAAGACGCAAGTAGCTCGTCTTCCAATGGATCTCGTTCGCCTTCATTATCCAGTGTTATGATATGAGGTCGTCTCGGCGACGGTGGAGCACTTTCCCGGTCCCCGACATTCGAGGCAAGTGAAGAGGTCGACCGTCGATGAGCAGGATTGGCGCCAAAAAGCTTCTTCGATGCAATGCTCAAGGCGCGATTGAGCGCGTTGGCTGCAGCACGGGAAGCAATGCTTGAGGGTGACGAAGAGAGCGGAGGGGGTGGAATAACAGGATATGCATGTGGGGCTGGTGGAAATGATGTCGGGCTTTCTGGAGGATCTTCTGTCGCTGGGGTTTGAGGTATTCTTCGATCGAGTAGAGGTCGCCTTGGCGCGGTATTGAGTTCTAAAAAGCGTTAAACAATTGGCCTGCGAGAAGACCAGGACCACGCACCGTCTACCGCGCGATTGAACTCGACAGCTTGGGTATCGTCAACGAGCACATATTCCCGTCGGAGCTTCCCGTCCTCTTCTGTCTCGCCAGGAATAATCGAGGCCTCTGTAGAGAGAACGCGTAATGGTTTCGAACTTTGAGGAAACGATGGTCGCCTTGTCTTGTCCGATATAGGTGCCCTGTCTCGAGGAGAAGTCGATCTGGAGTAAGGGTTAAGAGGAAACATATATAACTGAGAGCATGACGCACATTGGAGATGATGGCAATCCAGCAGTGGCCGGTATTCGTGGCTCGCCGTTCTCCCCTCTCTCCCTGAAATGGAACTTGCTGGGTGGAATCATGGCCTTTGGATCGAGGACCTCGGGTGGTATGATGAGATGATGAGCGGGAATACCTCCAGCAGGCGCATTGTCGTCGTCTTCGGCATCGGGCTCTGGTCGTGGAAACTTGCTTTTAGCAAGGGCCATACTACCAAAGAACTGCTGGAAGTCAGCGCGCTCTGCTGGAAGTTGCTTCAAAAGCATCTTGATCAGACGCTTGATATCGTCTGGCACGACCGGCGGAGGCTCGTTGGGATTCTTCGCAATTACTTTGGGGTCTTCGTCTGGGAAGCGAATGGCTTTGGACTGTTCGATCTTCTTCAGCAACTCAATGTGGTTCCCCGCTCGGAATGGTGGTCTTCCAACAGCCATCTCGTAAAGAACGGCTCCCACAGACCACAGGTCGGCTTTCGCATCGTACTTCTGATATCGAAGAATCTCTGGTGCCATGTAGAGACTGAATTGACTTGAATGACAGAACGACGTGCGAGAATACATGACTCACGGAGAACCACATAGTGTCTCTGCCATCATAGCATTCGGGAGCGAGCGCGCAAAGCCAAAGTCAGCAACTTTGAGGATAGGAACGCCGATGGGGTGCCCACGAGCGAGCTCTTCTGGTGGAGCAGGATTTAGCAGGAGATTCTGTTATGCATGAGCGGAAGGGTAAGATCGATGCGGAGAGACATGCCTGCGGCTTGATATCTCGATGAACGAGGTGGCGAATACGTAGGAACTTGAGCGCCCGAGCTGAGATGAAATTAATCAGATAGGTAGACCAAGACGAAGTTTGTCTGGCATACCAAGTTGCCTAAGGAAACTCCGCACAACGATTTCGTCCAAACCACCGGACTTGGGATGGGGGTACCATTGTAGAGCTGCTCCAGGACTAGGTGCATATTTGAGGCTTTCCACCTTGCCTCGTGTCTTGATATAGTTGGTCAGGTCGCCGCCCGCGCAATATTCCATGATGAGGTAGATGTTACGCTCCGTCCGCTACGAGATGAGGGTGAGTAGGGAGCGAAACTCCACGACAGGGAAACGCACCACAATGTCGATGAGCTTGGTAATGTGCCGATGAGATAGCGACTTGAGGATCTGTATTTCGCTCTGGAGATTCTCAAACAGCTTTGGCGAAAGCTTTGAGCGAAGGACGGTCTTGATAGCGACCGTTTTGTGGTCCTCCTACGGTGGGGATGAGCACTTATTCAGCAGATACCCAGAATGACGCACCTCATTGTAGCCTTTGTATACCGTCGCGAAGCTCCCCTTCCCAATATGACTCCCAATTACATAGGGCCGGAGCTCCTCATCCTCCTCGGACCGGCCAGGATGATTAGAACTGGTAGTCGAGCTTCGTCCTGAAGTTGTAGCGGGAGCGGGCATGCCGCGTGAAAGGGTTCTCGGAAAGTAAGAGAGATGGGAGATATGTCAAAACGTCGATGGCGGTCAAGAAAGAAGATGGATTCGGGAAGCTGACAGAGGCTGAAAGGGCCTCGAGAACATGGACGTCCAATTGAGGAAGTGTCACACAGCGTTACAGGCGTATCACAGAGATTCAAGATTGACCATTAACCACTACATAATCTACCTTCTACAGCAAAACGACGACGACAACAACAAGAGTAGCAACAAACAAAGTAAAATCTCCATGTAATGTCCCTCTTAATGCACCCGAAACTCCGGGCGGCGGAGCAGACGTGTTGCCGCCTTTTGCAGTACCATTTGTCGCTCCAACTTGAACAACAGCATTCCCCACAAGCGGCTGGTTCCACAAAAAGTCGGCATCCCACGCATAGTCGGGAAACGTCTTCTGCAAGAAAGCGACGTATTTCCCATCTGGGTCTCCGTATTCTGCAGCGACAGCAGCGACATTGGGGAAGATCTCAGCCACCGCGTAGTCCTCCTGGCTCTTGTTGGGGTCGACGGTCATAGTCATATCCATCGCGTCTTTGATTGTCGTCCCCGCCTTTGTCTTCGTGTGCCATGGGTCAGCCTTGGGGTCAGCGTATTGGAAGATACGCGCGTTAGTCTGGGAGTCTGATGAGATATGGAAAGGGTAAAAGGGTCAACAGCATACAATCATCGCACCGAGATTGTAGTTGCGATAGTGGTAAGGGTGAGTACGAGTTGCCTCAAAGGGCTATCATAATGTGGTTAACTCGCGTGAAAGGATCAGAGAACAAGCCATGTATACCTGGTCGCCAGAGGCGTCAATCTGGCCTTGGTATATGCCCTGGAAGAACCTATTGCTGATGTTGACCGCCCCAGGGATGTCATTGACAAGCAGCTTCAATGACGCCCACTGGTTAAAACAGTAGCTTCCATGGTTGTTCAACGAAGCGCATTCATCGACGCCAAGTTTACTTGTCTCAAGCCAGTTGATGTACTGATTCGCCCAAGTAATCAACCGCGAGTCGATATCGTCCGTCCAGTCCGAGCTTTTCAGCTTTCTCAGCGTCAGAATTCCGGACACAACCTTCGCCATCCCCTTCAAGTCGAGCACACCGGTGTGAGTCCCGACTTGTCCCGTGGGGCCCCGCGTCATTTGCGCGTAGTTCAGGTTGGGATTCATCCCCGTCGTTTTGTCGAGGAACCATGTCTCAACAATCTTGACTACGAGACTATCTTCAGCCACTCGACATCACGAAAGCATTGACACACGCACCAATACGCTGGGAATATATCGAAGATGTCTTGTTCTCGAACGCGAAAGCAAGCGCGTTATATAGAATGGCGTCGGACACGTTGTAGAAAGCGCCAATATCGTTGATGGTAAGACGGTCAGGGTTAAACTGGCCATCCCTATTGACGTATGGGCAGGTCACCCAAACTGCGCATTGTTATTCGGGGTCAATGGCAATGAAGCCACTACACACTTTGCTCTGGTGTTAATACCGTGGTATTGCCGACTTTAGAGCAGTCCGGCCACCAACTTCGGGGCGGTTAGCAATCGTGACAGGCGGCGCCGATAGACACGCACTATGGGGCCCAGCTCATATAATCCTTCTTGTCGCCGCTAGGCGCAACCATTGGCTTGGTGGTGACACTCCATGGCCCCGACGAGGCAAGACGGTCCGCCCACGAACGGATAGAGGCTTGCGCTCCCCCAGTTGTGTTAGGAAACTGGCGGGCAGCGATGTAAGAGGGGTCAACGAAGTCGTTGGCGTAGCTGGTGAAGGGCTGGACGTCGGCGGTGACCAGATGAGGCAGAAGAAAGGCGAAGGAGAAAGAAACGAGAGTGGGCGGCAGCATTGCAGCTACCAATCGGTAGGAGGCGAAAGGGGATTCGTGGCGTTCTCGGCTTGAATAAATGGAAAGGGTTTTAAATAATTGCGCGATTTGCGGGCTGATATCACCGTCGACGTTTTCAATGGTCCCCGATCCAGGCGCGATTGAAGTTGGAAGAATACTCTAGGACTGTGGACACGACTTGTAGGCTTGCTTGGTCGTCATCAGACTAGACAAATGCATTTGGATTCGAAATTTTGGAGTGCCTCGAAACAAGTGTCCGTGATGGCTTGGCGCTGGCGTCAATCATCAACTCTTCCAGCCAGAAAACCGCTTGATCTGGTGATGGGACATGAGACATGAGACAGGCCTGTCGCATGCACTTCACCTTGAATCCACAGGGCACATCTCTACAATTACACTGGGTAAATAATAAATAGCACCCTGTGCATAAATAACATGTCCCTAGGGAGATCTTCAATAGGTACGGTCAGAGTAGTCCGAACGGCGTCGAACGGCATCCAAACGATGTCCGAATGATTTGTACAAACAAGCATGTATTCGGATACACTTTTGTTCCTCAACTTTGACCACCATCCGAATGCGTCCAAATACATATCCAAACAGACTATGGTGCCAGCGGGCAAGATATTCGGCGTGTCGCCGAGCTAACGCGTGTGACTCCTTTCTCTCGTGTCCCGCCGCCATGGGGCGGGCTGATTGTTCCGCCGCGGGCGAGCTGCAGAGCTCGTCAAAGCGGCCAAAGACTATATGCTCAGTCGCCAGCGGCTTCGCATGCGCCGCCACCGGCGCTTCTGGGCCTTGGGACTGTCTAGGGCATGTCTGCAAAATCTGACGCGCCTTTCACTGGGTCTGCCCCGCCGAGCCTGCCCTTCTCCTCTCGACCTAGCCGACATATCAGACGACTCATCCTCGGATGGCAGTAGCTCCGAGTCAGAATCTGAATCCAGCAACTCAAGTGTGGACTCATTTGAGCTCCGCCACGACTCGCTCCACATTCCTCGTCGACAACGACGTGTTCCGCCCGCCTCCTCGCGTGTTCTCAGCTGGGTGCAGCACCAGATCGACGAGATGTACTCTCAACGCTACAATGTGCCCCGAAATCGCCTCGAACGGCCCCGGGAATCGACGATGGAGACATGTCTTAAGAAGTGGAAACACCGAGACAAGGTTTCTTTCCAGGCGAGCTTCGAGTCTGGCCGACAACCTTCGATAAACTTGTCCGAAAGATTGAAGGTCATCCAATTTTCACCAACAACTCAAATAATGGCCAGACACCTGTTGAGATTCAGCTGGCTGTCGCCCTGTACCAGTTTGGGCATGATGGGAATGGCGCATCCCTCCAGGCGGTCTCTTGGTGGTCGGGACTGGGCAAGGGTACGATTCCGCGTTGCACGCGTCGTGTTATCACAGCCATACTCGGCAGCGGGATGCTTGCGAAGTATGTCCGCATGCCAACTACAGCAGAGAAGGCAGATGCAAAGGCATGGGTCGAGAAGACGTCTGGATGTCGTGAGTGGGGCAACGGATGGTGCATGGTCGATGGGACTCTAATTCCACTGGCCTCGCGTCCGAATGGGTTTGGGCCTAGCTACTTCGACCGCAAAATGAACTATTCGATGAATCTCCAGGTTTGCGTTAGAAATCTTTTCAGTACCGCAACTTACACTAATTAACAGGTCGTGAACTTACCGAACCTCCAAATCATCGACATCGGTTATGGCTATGTTGGCAGCACACACAACGCAACCGCCTGGACCGGCACACGTGTTTACCGAGAGCTCTCGACTCTCCTTCTTGAAGGAGAGTTTATTTGGGGCGATGCAGCATACCCTCTCTCTCGTTGGCTCTCAGCACCGATTAAGGGTCCCGAAAAGGAAACCCCAGATAACACTACCTTCAACAACCACGTTTCCTATGTCCGCGTCAAATCCGAGCACTGTATTGGGTTTGTGAAGGGCCGACTTCAGTCCTTGAAGGGCCTCCGCTTGACGATCAACAACGAGGCTGACCACATCTATGCGACACAGTGGATTATGGCCTGTGTTGTCGTCCACAACTTTGCGCTTCTTCACGAAGCCAAACTACGTGCCAAACGACCAACAAACCCCAACTACACCTCAGCCGAAAACGATCCATTCATTCCAGCCCACATTCGTAACCGTCAGCAAGCGAACACTGAGAGCGCACATCAGTTAGAACTGGAGACCACAGCAGCAGGCAATCGGGCACGTCTTGCAGCTGGCAAGGCAAAACGCAATCAGTTAAAGAGTTACCTACTTGCTTCTTTACATACTCGTAGACAGCAGCTCGGATATAACTAGTTTTTTACCTATATGCTTTACTGTGGGCCAGGGATAGAGTAGTTAGACCATGAGGTAGGATCATAGCTTGTATCGTAAAAATTGTGCCCATTTGTTGACCCATACCCACTATCGCTGCCTGTCGATTTGAAGTCGAAGGACTGCATTGATGTCGCTGGTGATGAGTGGGTGCCGTGTTGTTGTGTGATGATGACGATGAGCCTGCCGCTGGCTCATCCTTGTAGAACTTGGGAAACATGCGGGCGGACAGCATCGCGGCCGTACTTGTTCTCAGCCTCAAGTGCCTGCATGCGACGGGAAAAGTCATCGTTGTTCGACTTGCGTTGCTCACGAATAATACGTGCAGTCCCGATTTTCTCTTGGGCCTTGTTGCGGCTGACATCAGCCGTCGCCTCGATTGCCTGGAGCTTTAAGGCGCTGCGCTGGAGCTTGTTCTCGTGCTCGATCATCGTGTTCAAGTCGGTAGGCTTTCCCTTTGGGGTTGGGACTCCAGCATGGGTTGGGGCAGTGTCAGCGAGAGTATAAGGGGATGGGTTCGCAGCCTTCTTCTTGCGTTTATCGCCTAGATGTGCATCATCGTCGTCCGCAGAAGTGGCAGCATCAGCGTCGTCATTGTTGTCATCTTCGTCGTCGTCAATGGTAATGACCGTGCCATGGTCAGCGGCTGATGATGGTGTGCGTAGGTCGTCAGAGTCATTGGCATCGTCCGATGACAGCTCATCGACCTCGTTGTTGTTTCTTGTCGCAGTGATAGTGTTGCTGCCGCCACTGCCAGTGGACTCGACACTAAGGTAGTTGGTTGTGGTGCTGTTGCCAATTGCAACTGGGTGGACGTTTGGGCGGGTGCCGATGAGCTCGTTCATGGCAAAGTACCACGGGAAGGCTTCAATTTTCTGACCTGAAAGATCGTTAGTAAATCGACAGAGACACGCTGCACACAGACCCCATGCGGTATGGTGCTTGTCATCTTCTGGAAGCTCGTCAAGCTCTGCCTGCGTCATCTCATTACCTGCTCCCGTCTGGCCCATGTCTGAGCGGATCTTGACTGTCTCAGTTCTGAGTCTGCATATAGCTATATAAGTTAAAATACAGAAAGAAAGGCAAATAGCGTACACTTTGAGACGGTTTTTAACCTTGTCACCAACAATAGCCTTCAGTTTTGCCTTCTGCCCTGCAAGCCAGTTGATGTAGGCTGCATAGTCGTTGCCCCAGAGCTGCCGGGCAATCTCCCAGTGAACAGTTGCTGCCGAGACACCACCACCCTTTTTAGTCGATGGATTGGCACCGGGTAGTGGGTACAGGACACCGCGCCACCGGTCGTTGTCGCGGATGGAGTCAATGAGGGTGGTGGTAAGCTGTGGCTTGTCCTTGAAGCTGGAGAATAATCAGGTTAGCATCTACTGGGGACAGATATCAGGCCACACACGGATCATGAAGACCAACAGGCATCTCAACCTCAACCTTTTTCTTTTTGGCCTGAGCGGGCACTGGGACGGGCTCCTGGACGATAGGAGTGTGTTTAGACTTGCGTGAGGTGCTGGACTTGCGTGGCTTGGAGGGAGTGCTGCCTCGACCGCGGCCAGGCATGGTGGTCAAGAGAAAAGAGAGGGGCTGCACAGCACCGGGTTGATAGGGGCATCACCGTAGCGGGCCGGCGTTCGTATGTGTGTTCGCGTTCGGACGTGCATACCGGCTCCAAGAGTCGGTTTGACGTCCGAACGTTCGTACAGTCCGAACATGTTGCCATCAAATTTCATTCGGACTATTTGTTCGTACAGCTGTTCGGACTACTCTGACTGTACCTAATATTACATGGGGGGATGTTACACCTGCACCCTGGGCACATTCAGCCTTTTGCCCTATGGGGATATAGAAATTCCCCCTCATTTAATTCTGATATCTTACACCATAAATACAATGTACGCTTAAATTTCTTTCTTAATATATATTACCTTTGCATTATATCCTATGTATCTTTGGATGCTCTGAGGCTAATCATTGGAGTACAATACTATCCTATTTCAATCAACTGTCTATGCTACACTTTACTCATAGTCACAGCATAGACATCTGTGGCCTCTGTTACATGTTCAGGCCTAGATTATCATCAAAACAGCCTTAAAGGGCAATTTTTGTCAGGTTTTAGGTCAGGCTATGCAAGGCTCTGTCAGGGATAAGACCCGGCCCGTCTACTCCGACGCTGGTGTCAGGCCACCGTGGACCCATAACATGCGGCACGTGACAATGGGGAACAGGCGTCCCAGTAGAAGGAATGCACACGTGGGAAGTACGTGACCGAGAACGACATGTCGAGCCATTGCCAAGCCCAACTCAACACCAGGGGACTGGGGAGGAGTGCTAGGAGGTTAGGAGTAGTGCCTGGCCCTAGGCAACTGCACGGGTAGGCCAAACCCGGGCGGGTATGCAGGTTTTACCCGGGCGGGTACGGGTACGGGTCAGCGAACAGGATACCCATGGCTTTCTGACTCAGCTGGCTCTGCTCCTGGACATTGTTGCGGAGGTCCCTGGTTTGACTCTTGCTATAATGTGGGCTTTTTTATCACATATTACAGCTTTGACTCACCTTGGACCTTTGACACATGTTCATCTGTGACCGGTGACCCATGGGTAAACCCATACCCGTACCCGCAGGTACGGGTACGGTGGCTGTGCGGGTACGGGTATGAGTAATGCCTCGGATACCTATGGGTTTACCCGTGCAGTTGCCTACCTGGCCCGCAAGGGATGTACGATCGTCCCCTCTGCAGCCAGGAACAGGGCGAGGAGGAGCAGAAGAGGCCAGGGTGTCCGATCACCCCTTTGCGGGCCTGCATATATAATGCGCGATAGCGTACCATGTACTCTATCGCTTAGATCGTCTAAAGAACTACTTCTCTCTGTACAAGGAGGAACCACCGACTCATCGGGCCCAACACGACCCGATTCGAACCCTCGACTACCGACAGCAACAAAGGACTGAGTTAACAGGCCCTTTCGGTTTCGATCTACCCTGCTCGCCATACTCGTGGGCCTGACGATCCATCTGTTCTGTTCCGGGCGCGCATTCTTAGGAGAAGTCCTTGCACGGCCCGACCTGCAGTCTGACAGAACGACTCCGATCCTTTTCTCTCTTCTCTTGTCCTTCAACCGGATTTCACTCCGCTCGCAGGCATTGCTCCACTCCGACTCCGCTCCGGTCTGGTTGGTCTTGTGTTCATTTGTGTCAGGCAGCTACTGACTTGTTAGCTATAGTAGAAACCCCCTCTGTTCTGTATGGCACTTGACAAGGGTGCCAACGATATACTGGTCATCTGTAACTGCGAACGTAGAGCGCAGAAGGCCTGAGCAGCATCACAGGCTCTGTTCCAAGATGATCATTGAGAGGGTCTTGACGGATTGGCGATTGTGCAGGCAAAGGAGGCTGAGGCCGAGGGCTGGGGTGGGTCATAGCATCCAAGAGGGCGTCAGTCGGATGCGCCTTGGATGTGCTCGGACAGTCTGAAGGAGGCCGAACTAGGGGTTCCCCTGACACTCAGTGGCCTGACACCAGCACTGGACAAGCCGGATCTTATCTATGACAGTATTAGTGCTTCTGCCCAGATTTTACACTTCTCCACCAGGACTCTGAATCCAAGCCAGAGGAAAACATAACTATCTACCTAGAGGGAAAATGACTCTTTACCTGGGTGACAACATCACAATCTAACTGGGGGAAAACAACTATTTACCTGGGGGAAACATAATGATCTACCTAGGGTGTGAGCAACTATATACCTGGGGGGAAACAACTGCCTACCTGGGAGGGATAATAACTATCTACCCTAGGGGAAAACAATATAATATACCTGAGAGTAACTAGATGATTCACCTAGATAAAAGATGAGAAGTTTTATCCATTGTGATATTGTCAACAGTCTTTGAGACACTATGCAACCCAGGACTATAAATTAGAAGTAGAACTGATAATGCTGGATACACAAAAATATATTAATAGACCAAAGAAGAATAATTTGAATCTAGCACACAATCAAAGCTCAGCAGAAGGTAACCACCACTAGCCCAAGAAGCAGAATAATTATATCAACCATATAGATATATAGTGGTCATATTTTAATTTTTATGGCTGCCAAGATAGTCTCAGAATAATTTATCTGTTTCCTACAGTACAATTAAACCAATACTCACACTAATTTAATTTAATTACAGTTTTGACTATTTTTTCCCAAATTATCAAAGCAATTTTCTCTCTGTTGATTCAAGAAAGAATTATATATATATATTATATTATGGAACATAGATATAATAGTTTGACGGCATTCCTGTTTGTAGCCAGCGAGGGCAGTGAGTTGTAGACACCTGTGGGAAACTACACAAATGCACTATGCATTGTATTGAATGTGCCCTGAGGTTGTTCCATATTCTCCCAGGGATGTCAAATTGTATGTCTTAACCCCCTGGGCATTTATATTATTCTCCCAAGGTAGTGATACCCTTCCACCTATGCATATTTTAACTACCCCCCATGCAAAACCCCAATCTGCCTCCGTGCAAATCTCATATTTCACCCTGTGCATACCATGGTGTGTACATGCGACATGTCCCATGTCTCATGTCCCATCACCAGATCAAGCGACGGTCTCCTTCCAGCACATCCGCCTTCGACGCATAACCCTCGTAGGTTTGGAGGCCCGCCAAACATAAACTCCCCCTGTTTATGCTGTTCTGAAAACATGTCCAGCGAGGACTTTTTCGCTTGCGGCATGCTGTTGCACGCAGTCCCCCGTCCCCCCATAGAACCACAAAAGTCTGAAAAGGAAACATCCAGATTGTAAATTTGCATAAACGTTGGGACTACGTTGGAAGGAATGCGATGGAAAGAAGCAGCTCAGCTCTTCCGAACCTAGTGCGCGCTGTTCCGGCTCTATGTGTGCGTTGCTCATCACTTTCAAGTTCAAGGCCAATAGTGTGGTCGATGATTGGTCGAACAAGTCCTTCGTCCAAAGGTCTTCTGTCAGAATTCTGTGGCTCGAGCGAACAAGCGTCTTCCGAGGCTTTATGCCGCAGCAAAGCTTGGAGAATCATTGTCGCCGGATCCTAAAGGCGTAAACTTCAATTTCGGAGGCGACCGGCGAGTCCTTGGGAAGCCCAATCTGTTGTTGGCCGCATTGCCCGCTTCGTAACAGAACTTGGTGATCGAAGGAAGAGCGTCGACAGCGATCCGGCCCGCGCCAAACAAGGGCTGCTGCTTCAGTCGAAGCAGAACTTTAAGAACACCGGGGGGCAGGTCGCGAAAGACATACAGTAAAAGCTTCATGAAGAACGGGTCTGGATGAGACTGTGCGTAGTTTGAGAATCGCTGGTACTGAAAGCGAGGTGAGCGTAAGTAAGTCGCCTTGTCTTCGTCCTTGTACCACATATACCTGTAATGTTCTACATAGCTTGAGCTTCCACAAATCGCATATGTCATGCATCACACACACGTGACCGCCTATCCTTCCTTCCTTCTTCTTCCGTCTACTTTTCTCTTTATCCCTAGCATCGCTCTGCTGCAATCAAACTCTACGAAATAACGCTCCAAGGATATGCTGTCCCTGCGTGTTGGGCGTGTCGAACGCGTGGCGGCTCCGTAGTCAGCAATCGCCAGCCGTGGCGAACGCTCATGAAATGGAGATCCCAGTCGGCCCTGCTGCTATGTAGTTGGCCCAGGCGTGCTGTCCTAGCCGCGGCAACCTATCCATGTCATAGCAGCCAAGAAGCGTCATTCAATGGTCGGGCGAGTGACGGTCAAATTGTGGTCTTCTCCATCCCAGTCGTCAAACCTTGAAACCTCCCGCTTGCTGCCAGCAAGAGGGGGCCCTGGTATACCTCCATCGAAGGAATTGGGATAGAGGGTATGCTCTGACGACTGGTTGCTTGTTATCCTTCGGCTGCTTAAGCTTCGAGGAACCAATGTCTTCCCCAAACACCGGCGAACGCGTCGACGTTCTGTTGGAAAACCGCCGCGTGTCGATAGGAATATGCGTGGCTGGTGAGCTCTATCATGAAAGTCAAAGTACGCTGGAAAATAACCGTCTACGAGATAAGGGCAAATTTTTACCGTTGGCCGCGGCGGACGCATGATCTAGGCATATCGATTACAATAGGGATCCAATTCGACGAGGGCATGTTCGCAAAAGAGGAAGCGATCGTCCACAAACCGAGCGCTAAATGAATTGCAACACTTTTCGCCGACTTTTAACCGGCTCTCGACTACTGCAAAAGTTAGTAGGCAAGCCTGTCCCCGGAGGTACTTCAGACCCTAGATCACCAACGGCTCATCTTTACGCAGAAAAACCCAATAAAGAAGACTTTCGCCTCCCGCTAGTCCGTTCCCCACGTTCCGCTTGCTCTTATTTACCGCAGCGAAGGTTTTGCTTTTATGCAGCACAAAAAAACCTACGGACCCAGATTATGTCCGACATTTCCTTTCCTCCCGTCTATTCAAGCCAGGTTCCTCCCGTCGAAGCCATGCTCCCTAGCGCGGGGCCTTCGCCACTACAATTCGAGGTCCTAGTCGCGGCCGTGCCCAATCCCGCCATGCTCGAGAAGGGTCTTGACCCTGAGATAACCAGCCAGACAAGCTCCAAAACCACGACATACTTGGACGACGAGCCCAACAATAACAATGTCGAATGGACTTATCCCGACGGTGGCCTTCGTGCCTGGCTCGTTGTCGCTGGCTGTTTTATCATGGCAATGACTTGCATGTGAGTTTCCCTTTGGAGTTCGGCACGCGCTTATCTATAATCGCAGGGGTTGGGGCCTTGTGTGGGGCGTCTTCGAAGACTATTATCACACTACGCGCTTCCCTGGAACTCCGCTCAGCCAACTCAGTCTCGTCGGTGGAAGCCTGTCATTTGTGCATTGAATCCCGCTTTTGCTGCTAGTGCTGATTCTTTCCAGAGCATGACATTCTCCTCCTATCTTTTCGGCGGCATTGGCGAACGATAGTGCGCTTCTTATTTCCCCACACTTTGCTTAAACTAAAGCCTCCGTTAGTGGCTACAAGGTACGATGAGCGGCGAACACACGCATTTGGCTTTAACAGCTTGTATCAGCGAATGATAGCGCTCAGTTGTCTCCTTGGCTATATTTGTTTGCTTGGGTCGGCATTTGCGACGGAGAAATATCAAATATTCCTCCTCCAAGGGTGCTTGCTAGGCCTATCGTATGGGATCTCAATGCCGCTGTACATGGCACTTCCTTCCCAGTGGTTCCTCACCAAACGCGGCGTCGCAACAGGTATGTGCCATTAGTTGTAGTTTCCTTTCTCAACAAGCCCAGGAATCGCCGTTGCCGGTTCAGGAATTGGTGGTGGTATCGAATCGCTTATCGTTCGCCAATTGTAGGGAATCAGCTCCTCAAGTTCTCTCGATGATGCTGATGTCTTCCAGACTTTCTAAGCTCGGTTATCGGAGAACGATGCTAATCTACAGCAACATGTATGCCCTTCTACAGACCTTGGCGTGGTTCATGATGGCCGAGCGTCGAGCGCCGGGCGCTGCAAACATCAAGAAGCGATGGCTTCCTCGCACAATTAACGCGTCATATTACAGCGTTGCTTTGAGCGTCTTCGTTGGCATCTTTGGCTATTTGGTATGTCTAGCGCTGGCCTCTCTCACTCCCGCTAACCAGGACATGTAGAGTCCTTACTATTTCATCACTACTTACGTCAAGGCGAAGGTACCTTCGTTGGACCCGAAATCCCTCATCGTCGTAGCCCCGCTCGTCGTCATGAACTTTTCTGGAGGCTTGGGTCGGGTATGGTCACTCTTCTCTGCCCCTATTCGCGCAATTCACGCAGCTCGCAGATTGTCGCCGGCCGGCTCTCAGATCGTTTCGGGCCCATTAACATGTTTTTCACCTCCTTCTTCCTCGGCGGCCTCTCGCAGATATTCATTTGGACGTTTGCCAACTCATATGCCGCGGTTATGGTATTCAGTGTCGTCTACGGCTTTGTTGGGTGCTGGTTCCTTGGCTTGTTGCCCGTAGTCTGTGCCCAGCTGTTTGGCATGAACGATCTGGCGACTCTCACTGGATTCTTGGTCCTCGCGAACTCGCCAGGCAAGCTGCAGTCTCTGTTCTATATTGATAGCCACTCATGGAACCCACACTGCAGGCCAATTCGCCGGGGCGTCCATTGGCGGCGCAGTTTTCAGCGGCTCTGGAGGAAACTGGCAAGCTGTCTCTCTCTTCTCAGGTTCTATAATGCTGGTGGGGTCCTTTTGTGTGCTTTACGGTGAGCCCCTCCTTGGTTTGGTGGAGGGTATTTGCTGACGAAGCATTCCAGCTCGGTTTTCGCACGACAGGCGCATCTGGGCGAAGGTTTAGACTACATACATACTGCTTATATTGATAGAATACTCTTTCTAATCCTAGATTCTGTTTATTGGCTCCTGTGACGGGCATGTGATGCGTGACACCGCTCTTGTGTCTTTCGACCAACTTTGGACGAAGTTCTGGCCTTCAGCGTCCAAATGGGTCCCACAACAACTACTTGAAGGAGTACAATAACACGACAAGCCTCCATCACTCGGCTCTGGGGAAGCGCATGGGTGGCGGACGCTTGGGCCTTGTGCTTTGACCGTGGTCACGTCCCAAGCGCGACGCTATAAAGCAGCTTTGGGTAGCTAATACTGCTCCTTCGCAACAATCCCCCACTCATATAATGGCAGCACTCATCATACCCGTGCCCGTTGCTCCCCACACGCAGCGCACCATCTCTTTTGTCGGGCGGGGTTTGAAGACACTATTGACCACCAAAGTTCCGGGAAAACTCGTCCTTCGGCGCAAGACGAGCGTGCGTGACCTGCCTGCTGAGCCTGTCGAGGAGAAGAAGCCTAGTGGCGACCCACCGGTGTTGGCTACGGTTTGGCCAGAGGATAATCAGGCGCGGTTGGCCGCTTTGGGAATCAAAGTCCGCGACTTCGCCTACCCGTCTGACCGGGTTGGCCATGTTGACCCGACGTATAGTCATCCTCTGGTTGCCGGTACGTGGCATCGTTATTTCGAGGTCAAGTTTCCTTACTGGTGTTTTAGCAGTAGCAGAAGAAGCCGAAGACCAGGAGCAAGAAAAACCGGGAACGACTGTTCAAGACGAGCAGATGGCAGCAGATGAGAAAGATAATGACAGTTCTCGTATGTGGCCTTATTTTCTCTACTTGCTCTGTCATTCATGATTCTGCTAGCTGAACTCCTACAAGACACCTTTATAAACACGGAAGATGACTACGCAACACTATTAGATGGGGAAGCAGACGAAGAGGGAGAAAGCGGACCGCGTATGTTCCCAATTTTCCACTTCTCTGAATCACTCATTATTTCTTCTAGCTGCACGCGTGGAAGACACTCCAATGCCTCGCATTCCTGAAACATGGGAAATGCCACATCCGTTGCTTCGTCCAGTCACCTACCAACCTCCCCATTATCCTCCCCACCATGTTCCCAGTCCACAAGACCCGATATACTACGACACCCATCGCTTACCCGGCCACTTCAGTCCCATCCTTGGTGTCGTTGAAGTCGAATATCGACTGTCTCAGCAACCACGCACTGTCCCTATTCTCGGCTTAACTACCCGCCGTCTGCTGACGATTTCGCCCGACCTCGTCGATCTTTCGCGATACCAAGAGATGGATTTGGAGGAGCTCAGGCGCTACGACCGACGTCTTCTTTTCCAGCTTATGAACGGAATCAAACCTCCGCGTTGGAGATGCTATCCGCTCGGCTGGGCGCCGACCCCCGAGAATCGCGCGGTCATGGTTAAGGTGGCCAATATATGGAAGAGTTTCACTGTCTATGACGACACAGTGCAGAAGGCCATCCTCCAACACGCCTGGCAGCAAGCGCAGGAGGATACGGAATGGATGAATCAGGAGATGGAGCGACGGGGTCAAGAGAACATCGACGCTGGCTTGCTTGACCCGGCAAACCCTGCGCTTGCAGAACTGCATGACTACGATATTCCTTCTGAGCGGAGGTGCAACCTCAGCATCCGACAGTGGCTCGAGTTGTGGGAACGCCGCCTGGACACGGGAGCCAGCTATCCGACTTACCCTGCTCTAGTCGAGCAACTCAAACTCCTGTGGAAATTCGACGGCAGGACGCCGCATAACGATGACATTGTCGCGCGCCAATACATGCGAGAACTGCTCTACGCCGACGTCAAAGCCCCATTCGTTCCCGGCCAGCTTAAAGTCGAGCTTCCTCCTTGCCAATACTGGGGACCTGATGCCGTTTGGGACGACTATCGCCTGGAAGGGGCCCAGCGGATCTCAAAGCTGACGCTGATGGAGCATATTGAGCAACTTACGGGCCAGACAGTCGAGGAGGCGGTTGCTGCAGACCCGCATGCGATTCCGTGGCCGGTACCCACCACAATGACCGATCCGCGGTACCATCAGGGGCACATGAGTGCGGAGAAAAGCTTGTGGGACTACGATCTCGTCAATGCGGAGAATTTAGTGCAATTCTTGGAGGAAATGGGCGATGGTGATGATGTGGATTGGGCGAAGATGGAGCGGGAGAGGGGGATGTCTGAGCCAGCGCCTGAGCCGAGCAAGCGGAAAGTGGAACCTGAGTTACCTGTGATGCGCGGCTTACCACCGCCGGACCGGAAACGTGCGTTAGACGACGGTGAAGAGGAGGAGAATACCCCGAGCAAGAAACGCGTCAAGCAGATGTAGAACGGAGCTAGCTGTTTCGTATTGACTCGCTACACTGGCAAAGGAGATGTGGAATTCACGGACTTGGGTCTTTTATCACTTGTTGAGTGAGGAAGGTGCTTAACAGCCAGCATTCGGAGAGGCCGTAAAAGACACCAAGAAATATGATTGGCTAGGTGGTACTTTTGTAGAATATGTCCGGGAGGTTTGCGTTATATAGCGCTCGATACTGTTCAAAGATCATGTTTGTGCCTGAAACAAGCTGTATTTCGGCCCTTCCGGCTTCAGGAGCTACAACTCGTCGCTCAACAAGTGGTAAACGCTGACACGAGTCCAAATACCAGCACTGAGAAGGAGTAATCAAAGGGCGACCGTCGCAATACACATGAATTGCGCATGAAACACAGGAAACAAGGAATGAATAACGTCGGTGAAGACGTGAGCCAAGTAGCGGTATCGCTTCGAAAAAGTGATATCAAAAGAATAGGGTGAAGCGGATGCGACTTCGATATGTGAATAGACCGTGTTGACTAAAGTAAAGGGAGGAGAATCAATGCAGACCGCAAACAAGGATGGAGAAAGACAACACGGATGGTATAGCAGGCACTGTATCGTGATGATGGCAAGCGAAATAACGTGGCGCGACGAATCGCAGAGTGGACGCGGAGTAATCCATGGCCACAGCGGGAGGATTTCGACAGCAGGGAAGGCAATGAGGTTAACTTGGCCCACCACAAAGCGGTCCGTGCATGAGTATATGGATAGGAATAAAGGGCAGGAGCGGCGCGCTTGAACGGATTTGAGGGAGTATTTGGCCGACAGAGGACGAGTTCGGCCGCAACTTGCACACCTTTCAAGGATGGCATGCAGCACCAGCTCCGCTCGTCCACCCGTGTTTGTGCCGACGATGGCGATGAAGCCCACCCGAACGGCGATCTGGAGCGTGCGGCAGCAGCGATGTAGAGCCCCATGAAAAGGCCGACAATCTTTTTCGACAATTCAAAGTCGGGCATTGCATTGCGTAACATTTGGTCGCCGATATAACCAAGCCAGAGGATCCCATGACCGCAAATCTGTTCCACAACCGCCTCCCGTTCTTGGATTCAGCGCGGAGCCCCATGAGAGGCATGGTGCGGAGATGCAGAACCCAGTTAGGTCGGCCCTCCTCGAATATGGTTGGCGTTTTAGCCTTGTTCGAGTAAACAGTGGCGGGAGCAGCCTCTGCGGCGAAAATATGGCATGTTGGAAACATGTGTCGCGGGGCTAAGCCCAAAAGGTGAAGAAACCCGTTTTGGACGCGGAACGGGAAAAGACGCTACTTCGGGCCGAGGACATGACCTTTGAGGAGTACATGGCGACGATAGAGGCTGCGGAGGACACAAATAAGTAAGTCGGGGACAGAAATGTGCGCCGTTCGGACTGACCAAAAAGATCGTTCCAAATTAGGCAAGCGGCGGAAGTTTTCGGAGGGGCGGATATCTCTGTCTCCGCCCCTCTTGCAGAATGCCAATATGCATGCATCCGCGTGCTACTTCCGTCTCCTGCTCCCGCCCCTTTACTGTCCCACGCCGAATGCCTTCTGGATGCCTGCCATTTCACCCGCGTCCTTTATACCGCCGCGAAAAAGCGCGTCGTGTCGAGCAAGCAAGATGCAGTTCTCGTAAAACGGTGGGATGTAGTGGCAGGAGATGAAAGCAACGACCGAGAAAGCTGTCGGCGGCGGCGGGAAGATGCTCGGAGCGAATTGCAGAGGAGGGAGTTGTGCCTGGAGAGATGGCGTAGTCGTCGTAGATATCGATTGGGATGGATACTACTAAATCGACCTATGAGCCCGTTTATGGCGACGATCAAGGGTTATTGGACCGACCTGAAAACATGTCCAGACGAGGCAGGCAGCCTGATAAACGGCGGTTTCCAAGCTAAATGAATTGAATGAAAGGAGTATATAGCGGGAACAGGCCACATACGGTTCAATATACAGCCTCCGCCGACTCTTCCGCACCACGCATCCAAATGGAGCTCAGCAAGACGAGGCGCCGAGTTCGCAAGCGATGTCGAGCTGCACCAACAAAAAAGGAATGAGCCTATATCCATTGCGAAGCGTTTCCTCGTTCGACGTAGCCCACCGCTGGCCCATGTCGCGAAGAGTCAATCTGAGAGGGGACGCTCAGATTGTCCGTCTCGCGCAGGAATGTCCTGTCGGCCACAGCAGATGCCTGCGAGAGCAGCAGCACGAGGGAAGCGTCCCGGATACGCACTGGAGGCTCGGTGCATGAATCCGGCGGACTGCAAAGGACGACGCAGCGCCGAATTGTCGCGACGAAGCGCCGAATTGTTGCGCGCGGGAGTGGCGAAGGCGCGGTTTCTGACGGAGAGCGTGGCCGGCCGCGTGGATAGCGGGTGCCGGGGCCGCGGGAGATGCACGGACGAGTGGGCAGTGGGGCGATATCGGTGGCGTTTTCGACTCACCCAAGTCTGCAGCTGCAGGGCACGTGGCGACAGCGCTGTCCACGCAGGTCCCCGTCGTCTGCCCTCCCCACGCCACACGCCACGGCCCCGTTTCAGGGCCGCTTTCTTTCTGGCGTTGTCGTGCGATGGCGGGAGAGCGGGGCGCGGGGCGCCTCCGTCGTCGCTCCGCGCTCGTGCGGTCTGGGATACTGGCGAAGACGGCAGAGCCGGACCGCCGGCGAGAGGCTGAGACCGGGGGTATAGAGAAGCTGAGATGTCTAGCCACAGCCCAAACATCGTGGAATTTGAAAGCGGGAGGAGAAAAGCGGCGCGAACCGTGACGTCGGGTGTCGGCTCTTGGAGGCCGGGTCCAGACTGGACTGGGCTGGGTCTCGTCGTGGGCAGAGAGGGCCGAGCCGGCCCCGCGCGACGGTTGTCGATGCCCCTTTGGAATCACGGCTGCTGTGAGATGATTAGCGAAACCATAGTTAGGCGTGGCGCGCGCCATACGCGACGCGGTTCTTGAGGTGGCGGTGTGTTACAATTGCAGTGTGTTATAATTTGCGGTCATCGTCGGACAGGCGTATGTAGGAGGAGGGAAAAGTAAGACGCGTGACATGATGACTCCGGACATACACACTCGAAGGCAGCTAATGCCATGCACCTGCCCATTGTCGGACGCACTCTTCAAGTTCCTCCTCGGAGAGCTTGGTTACTCCGCCCAGTTCCTAAGTGGCCGGCAGTGTTTATGCGAGTCCCCGCCGCTCATCATTATGACGTCCCATCCTCGCTCTTTTCCTTCGTAGATCTATTGTTCTGTGCTACACTGTCCGCGACGAATATCAACTCACCGCATCGGCACTTCAAGTTCTCCCTCCGAGTGCCGGCCCGGCTTCTGCGGTGGAGCGATTTCAAGTTGCAGGGCATTGGGCATAGTCTTCGCACATATGGTACCGGCCTTGTATTGGCTGTATCTCTCGTCTTGTGCCAATGGACAAACTCACGATGTGCTTCTCATGGGAGCGCACGACCACCATATAAGCCGCATAACCTTCGACGTCTCGTCATTGCGAGCCGCCATGATCCCCACGCTCCTCCTCCTCCTCCTCCTCTTCTCAGGCTACCTCCTGCGCTGTCTCCGACACGAGCTCCAGCGGCGACGTGCACTCCGCCACATCCCCGGGCCGCCTTCGCCTCCGCAGGCGTGGCTGCTCGGTGTGGCGCCGAACAAGCATCGAATCGCCAGCGCACCACTCCACGCACCACGGCTCCCAGGACACCTCGTCGCGCGGCGGCTCTCCGCATTCGACCAGTGCGAGTCCCTCTGGCGCCGCGGCACGGCGTACGGGCCGGTCTGCCGCTTCACGGGCGCCTTCGGGGTGCGTAGTCCACCGCGATGCGGCGTCTCTGACTGGGCCTGGGCCCGGGAACGGCGGCGGGACCGAGTACTCCTGGGCGATGCGACCGTCGCTCCACTACGCCGAGTTCCGCGACACGCCGGCCGTCCAGACGACGATCGCCGGGATGTTCGGCGCTCAGCCAATTGATATGTATGTAGAGTATTACAAGGGGTCTTGAAAATGATCAATTATATTCCAAGTATAATTAAATATATAATCAATGATTATGAGTATGATATGATGGGCAAAAATATTTCGCCGCTTCTAGGGTGGGCGGCTCGGAGGCGGCTGGTGGGCGGCTCCACCAAAGTTCTGTAGACAATATCTTTGTAAGTACTTCACATAATGACAACCTTCTTGGGGCGTTCGATAGCCCCCCGACGGGCCCTTTCGAACGCGCTATTGAGCGGCTCGAACGGTGGCTTCGTTGTCGAGCATTGCCCTTGGATTTTTCGGGTGGGCGGCTCGGACGCGGCGGTGGGCGGCTTTTTGCCTGAATTTCGCCGCCCTCTTTTCGCGGTGGGCGGCTGGTGGCAGTGTTGCCGCGGCTGTGGGCGGCTGTCGCACAAGTGGAAGCGGCGCTCGTGTGACAGAGGGCGGCTCTCAGCCAAGCGAGGAGGGCGGCGATGAACACGGCCGCCCACCCCAGTAAGCGGCAGCTGCGGCCCCGCTCTCTTCCATCGACATCACTCCTCGTCATCGCGAGGCTGTTGCTTTCGTCGCTGGCCACTTCTCCGGGTCGTGAACGCATGTTGCGTTGCCCGCGCCGTCGTCGTCGTCGCCATCAACGTTCGCCGGCGGCGTTGCCAGGACTGACAGATGAATCATGATGAGTCATTCCTGCCTCTTGCCTTCACTCCACCACCATCCCGACATGCCCCGGCCACCGCCCTTGTGACTTCACCCTTCACGAACCCAATGTCGGTGCATTCTAATATCTTGTGACGGGCTCGACTTCACGCGACTTCCACATCCGACCTGGGCCGCCGCAAGCATCGCCGCGCGGCGCTAATCGCGCACAATCGACTACACCCTCCGGGCTGTGTAGCCTGTTCACAACCCGCTGGCCACGGGGAGACCACTGTCTTCTGAGGGTGAGCGGTGGTGCGCGGCGATGGACATGGCTGCCGTTGCTTGTACTACTGCCAATACAACTCTGCTTCTCCCGCCCTA